TACGTACGTACGTACGTTAACGTTAACGTTAAGTTAACGTTACGTTACGTTACGTACGTACGTACGTACGTACTACTCTCTCTCTCTCTCTCTCTCTCTCTCTCTCTCTCTCTCTCTCTCTCTCTCTCTCTCTCTCTGAGCTAGAGAGAGTAGTAGAGAGAGGTCTCCATTATTCTCAGCCTTCTAAATTACACAAGAAGGCTATAATTAATATAGTTCACGAGATACAGGATCAGCCTACCGCGCGTGGCACCTACGCGCATAAAGAATCGAGCTTTCTAAGCGCGTATAGACGCTTATTAATTTATGTGAATAGTGATTGTTGTCTATAACGTCATGCCGTCTCTCTAATACGATCACAACGTGTTTGCACAATTTTCACTTTCACCGTTCACACCCATCACACCATTGCAAGCAATTTCGATCGATTGAATGAGTGAAATACCCAGTAAAATGACTATAGAACTAATCATTGTAGAAGCACCACTTCTTCTCTGTATGATATTTACGTTAGCTAACTGATCGATTCAAGAAATCATCTATAGGAAGCAAAGAAAAATCTATTTATTCCACGACAATAGGTATTATACCTTGATTTATGTGAATAGTGATTGTCTATGAGATCATACCAATCCCTTTGTACAAGTCTCACTTTCACCATTCACACCACCACACACCATTGCGTGCAATTTCGATCGACATACCCAGTAAACTGACTATAGAACTAATCATCGTAGAATCACCGCTCCTTCTCTTTGCGGGGTTACATTAGCTAACTATCCCGTACGAAAAAAATACTCCGTCGACGACACGGTAATGGCTTTTTTTCTGAAATAAATATGTACTTTTAAAAAATGTACTGTACGTAGTACGTATTTATTTATGTACTGAAGTATATGTTTTATTTTATTTTTCTAAAAAGATATATACAATATTTACTATGTATGTTTGTATTTACCATTTATTTATGTAGTGGCTATGTATGTATTTATTTATATACTACACATGATAAATATGCATAAATTGCTGGGCTATATAGTTTAACTTTTATTAAAAGGCAGCACTTTTCGCTATGACAACGTGTCCGGACGTCACGTCTTCTATATTACATTAAGGAGTCCGATATACGTCATGATATTCTCTTTTAAAACGAGACATATCGCGACGGGTCGGAAACTAGTTTACCATGAAGACATATCTTTGTCGTATACCAGGCCAGATAAATTGCGTATTGGTTATTGCGCGACTGCGCTTGGCTGGAGGGCGTAGCACAGGGCGCCGGCCCAGGCCCAAGGGGCGTACGGGCTACACACGTACTCTATTGTCCAGCTACCCATTGGTCGCAGTTTCTGACAACCACTCGCAAGCAAGCTGCGTAGCTCGCAAGTCACAGGCTCTGAGTCACGACTCGACTCACGACTCACGACTCACGACTCGCGCCTCGCGAGTCAACGAGTCACACCCAGTCGTCCACACTCTACACTCCTGTCACTCCACACTTCTTATTGTGTTGTGTTTGTGTAGTGACAGTCCACACTCCACACTACACAGTCTACACTCCACACCACAGTCTACACTCCACACTCACCACAGTCAACAGAATTACACTCCTCAGTCCACACTCCACAGTCCACACTCCACAGTTACAGTGTTCCACACTCCACAGACCACAGTCACACCAGACGCCACTCCGCGGACCACTGCTGAGTGCTAACTGAACTGAGAGGTCTGAGTGTACTAATGCACTGAATGCAGTGATGCACACTTATGTCGTAGTAATTTAGTACACTACTACTACACAGGAGGTGCATAGGGGAACAGGCGGTACAGCCCAGGCGTACAGCACTGTGACTCTGTGAGTGAGCCAACAGTCCCACACAGGCACACATTCCAGTCTCTACTGCAAAAATAGTATTTAAATACACTCCCAGCAGTGAACAGTCTACTGACTCCACGAGTCCACACTCCACAGCGATGAGTGAGTCCAACACCTCCACACTCCACAGTCCATACTCTCCAGTTTCTCCAGGACCACACAGCCCAGTGAGCCCACACTCCACAGTCCACACCACACTGTCCAGTGTCCACACTCCACAGTCCACAATTCCACGCACACAGGCCAAAACAGGCCACAGAGTGGGTATTTTTTTTAATTGTATATATAAATTAAAGTACAGGACACCTCAGACTCTCAGAGTGGTATATTAGGTTTGTTTCTTAAAAACTTGGTTTTGAGTACCACCGAAGACAAAAACTTTTACGTCATAGACCACTCAAAAAAAGTTTACTATCAGGCTTTTATCTCAACTAGAACTAATTATACTGAATTTAAGTGTGTATTTGAGGTTCTTGCAGTTCTTTCCAGCCATAGCAGACAGATGTTTTTCTTTTTCGCTGTAACAGAGACGTTTTATTGCTTAGTTTCAACTTTTTTTAGATAAACAACGGATACAAACCACAGAATAAAAAAAGGTACGTGGCAACTTTTTGTGTAGAAAAGAGCGTGCTTTTTTATAAATAGTAAGATGCAGATTATCGAAGCCGTCACTCTGTAGTCACGTAAAAAAATTACGATTGGAATAGATCGTGCTTTTTCATAATATATCAAGTCTAGCGGCATACATAGTCGCTGCATATAGCAATATATTCTCTATCGTCACCATACTGCTGTGTCCACAAATGTCCTTTATGGATAATAATCGGTTAAATCTTCCTAGGTAGGACAAAATATATAGAGCTAGAGCCAAAGAAACGACAAATCGACGTTCGTGCAGGGTTTAGAGAAAACCAGTGCATCGCCAGCAACGTACGCGTGTGTAGTGATATCTCTATTCGGAAATGAAATAGCGATCACTCGTGGAAGTCTTTGAAGTAGTATTATAGTCAATCAATATCGTATCGTATCTTCGCCTGGGAAGGAGGATATATCTGGGTGCTTATGGTTCTCGACCCTGGTCCACTTCAGGTTGAAACGTATTTATACATATATATATATATATATATATACATTATAAAGTTTGAAAGCCAAACTCGTTGTTATAGGATATATCATTGTTTATATAGAAGCCACAGTACTGCACAAGCGCAAACCAGTTCAAGATGACAAATGAGGTTGTGGCTACTGGTATGGACCTGCCACCGCAGCGCGGGTCGCTGGATATGACTGCGTTGCTTCATGCAGCTGAGCTACTCAGATTGGAAGAAGAGGGTACCTTGGATCCCAAGACACTTGCCAGCTATGGCTTGGATCGCGAGAAGTTCTACGGTATGTGGCTTATATAAAATAATATATACAAATGCTTTGAATCGTCGCTCTCGGAAGAGAACGACTAGCAAGCGTGCACAGTCGTTGGCTAGTTTTCTCTACTGATTACGTTATGTATCGCCCTTGATATGTGCATTTTCGATCTTGATTTGCATGTATGCGAAGTTAGATCTGGAAAATTCAAAGGCTTTCGTATGCTTGCATGGATACAGGTAAGTTACGGTAACAAATGAATCCGCAGTTTGTAATGGATTCTGATATTATAGAATTTAGTGTTTTTTTATTGAGTTTGAAATCGAGATTTGGTCTGTGTTTTTACGATATAGGTTGCGTTGCAGGGTCGTATCGGTCAAGGTCCGTGTCGGAGTCAGGACTACCGATCTACGGCACGACCAATCAACAGCACAATGACCAACAGTGCTCGTCAACTATAGAGCAATCGTATAATTCAGGCTCCTCAACGCACTCAACAATCGGAAAGACAAAAAAGCGGTCGATCAAAAATCGGGAGATGCACAACCTGCTCGAAAAGAACAGACGCGCACATTTAAAGAGTTGTTTCGACGATTTGCGTGATTCTATACCTGGGTTAGAAGACGGGAAGCAATCGACTGTCTTAATCATCGAGAAGGCCTCAAAGCATATCACAGGCCTAAGTACGAAACACAAACAACAATTAGCCGAAATCAATCGCCTGAGGCATTTGAATCAGTGGTGTGCGGAAAAACTGCTTGAGCTGGGAGGCATGGACACGGATGAGTTCGCTTCAGGTGTGTGTACGGATGAGATACGATACTTTGGTTCCATTACTGAAATCCGTTCACTGCTCTCCACACCTTCGGGAACTGAACAGTCAATGTTGTTATCACTAAAGATACACGAATTGTCATCTAGTAGGCACACGTTCTCTTCAAACTCAATAGATATGAATTGGTTCGTTTGTATAATCTTACAGTTCAGTACGAATGCACCCGGAGCTTATTAACTCCAGAGTCTGAGACGGGATCAACACATGGCAGCTCGTCCGAATCACATGCCAGGCAACGAACGATTTCTGAGTCTAGCGCGTCGATGAATCAGCATGTATGTTGTGTGATATGCTCGGGTATGAGTGTTTACGCTTGAGTGTGAGCTATCTTTCGTTTTGATATGTTCGCATACGATGCTTAAAAACGATTGTGTTGACCTGGCTTGCTTGTTTTGTTGAAAGTTCATTGTCTTTCCAAATAGACTCCGTTGTGCATTTCATTGTATAGTAGTAACGCAATTGAAGAATTTTACGTCTAGCGCGTCGATGAATCAGCATGTATGTGGTGTGATATGCTCGGGTATGAGTGTTTACGCTTGAGTGTGAGCTATCTTTCGTTTTGATATGTTCGCATACGATGCTTAAAAACGATTGTGTTGACCTGGCTTGCTTGTTTTGTTGAAAGTTCATTGTCTTTCCAAATAGACTCCGTTGTGCATTTCATTGTATAGTAGTAACGCAATTGAAGAATTTTACGTTATAAATCGAAAGGAATTCGAGCTGTAGATGACATTTGTGACGAAAATGAAAGCAGAACTCAACAATTCAGTACATTATCTACATTCTGCCACCTATCTATTCTAGGAATTTAGCAGCAAGAATAATGTGCTACTGTGTAAAATTCTTCCTCGATAAATATAAACGCGATTCTGTTTTGTTCAAATATATGGGTTAGATTTTAGCTACGTGGCTCACTCTTGTTGTTCATCTCCTACAGGTGCTGCGAACAATGAATCCAGGAATTTCCTCATCAACGACGGGTCCTACTGAGCAGTATCCTGTTGGAATGGTGATACCCACTTCCTCTTGATTCTGTACAAGTTTAGTATTCACATACAAAAATGCTGGTCGCACCAAAGCTGTATTATGGCCTCAGCTCCAGAGCATACCACAGATGCATATACAAGCTAGAATGGCTTAACTTAAAGTGCTCCCATCTACTGGAGATCGGCATCTCAGTATCAAATACCGATGCCTTTGTTCTGCTATGCCACGTCATGCCCTAGATTGTCAGGCGGAAGCTGACCTATGCCATTCAAATCTTTCTAACAAAAGAGTGCCGACCAGACGAGCGTGTAGTAACGATTAGGGTTGACCGGTCACAGGTTAGGTATTATCTCTGTTCAAGGAAATGCACCATGCCATTGTAGTGCTCTTGAGATAGAATAAAACAGAACAGCACTGAGCTGATGATTATTTTACTATTCACGAGTATACACATATTTTGTTTTCTAGTACTGCCCTTGACAACTACGGTATTGATACCCGTCTGATGCAGTTGCTCGACTTCGTAGTTGGCTGTTAGGTCTACAAGTCCTCAATGTCAATGATCGTATGCATGCTCTCATTGTGCTTCCAACTTTTTAAACACTACACCCCATGATATTGCTTTTTGGAGGTGCTTTTCAGTAGAGAACTGCTTGTTATGAATTGTCATGTCTGGTGAGTACGTATGCTCAGTTCTGGATCTTCAGGACAACCGGATTAGAAGATTGAAGTACTAATTACAAAATAACTACCACTGCTATCGATCTGGATTGCAACGGGTTGCCCACTCTATTGGTAACAACAATACGTGCCAAAAATGGCGTGATAATACAGCATCACAATCTTGACGTCGGATTCGTTCTGGGGTTGTTTTAATCGTCTGTGCCTGGGTGTGCAAGTACCGGTATATTCTCAAGAAGACACTAATTGTTTGCATTAAGAGCAGGATTGTGTCTTTAAGAAAGTAAATACAATTTGCTGAGATCGATACTTTAGTATGATAACTAACGAAGCATATATTTTACACCTGAATAAAACGGCAGTACTACGCAATTATGATTGGAATACCAGTTGGTAGGAGTTGTTTTAGCTCAATTGGAAAAAATCAATACCAACACATGAAGCAACTGTTCGTTTTTAGATAGCACTAGCCTCGAGACGACTAAATGATGTGCTGCTATTGTGAGCAACCAAATAATAGTAGCTATCTAAAGACAGCTCGAGATTGTCGCTGCTACATCAACGTTGCCCAAGGCGAATTCGTTTCCACTCATGGCCCATACTTAATATGGAAGGCAAGTATGTTTGAAAAGATACTACCTACCCGTTATGATTTGGTCCTGATCATCTGCCTGTGCAATCTATAGCCGTGTAGTTTGAGGCCTTGTGTTTCCCTACAAGCTCATGTTTGGGCCATCATATTGCAAGTTGTGTCGAGTTTCGTTGTTTTTTTTCCGCGCAATACAATGATATTTAGTTGACCAACCCAAATCTGACCACATTGGGAACATTGTTCTTGAGTGGAAGGCAACACAAATAAGATTCTGCATGAGCGCAGAATGTATTTAAACATCAATTATCACTTTCCACGTCCACACTCAAACAAGAAAACACACTGTTTTACTATTCACCAACGACGATGGCGGAAGGTATTCGACACAGCCTTGCCCAGGTACTAAGAATGCTAAAGGTTATTTCAAAATAAGATTTTCTTTTACGACATTCTGGGTGCGATGATTATCCGTTACTTGGAAGCGAAACACTATCAATGCACGGCAATGTTCTCTCCGCTACAATTAAATATTCGAACTTTAAAAAAGGAACATCCGCAGCCCTCCAATAATTGCAGCAAATCAACATAATTCTAATGACTTTTGAATATTGAACTCTCAGGATAGCCCTAAACCAGAACGAGCTGGGGAAGCTGGATTCAGCGCCGCGTCAAACTTATCTCTAAATTCAACGGACTGTGCATCTGCCGACTTTGTTGTCCAACCAGTGAAGCATCCTATGTTTGTGGCGAATTCAAGTGCTGACGCGCCAGACGAGGACGATAATTATGCTACCCAAACCCCTCGAGCAACAGAAAGTAGAAACCAGATGTACTTTCAAGACAGGAAGCGAGCACCTCCAAAGGCTAGGCTCTTGACACACATACCTGCTTCCGATGATGGCGATCCCCTGCTTCCCCCACCCTACATACATAGCCCTCGTAGCTGGACGTGTAATTCAGTCGTGATGGAAGCTGAGAGAGAAATTGGTGTGCCTACACTACCTGACTCGGATATGAAAGTTAACTGTGACGAGCCAGTAAGTGCCGAAAACGAAGATAGCTATGAAAGTTACATGCCCACATTTGCTGAGTATATGAGTCTAATGAAGAAAGTAGATGAAGAGGAACTCGCAAATCACAGTACATCAAGTGAGTCGAATGGCTCGCCCAATGCTCTACACCACGAATTCGTCGCCGCATTGAGCAGCAAAAAAATATCCCTACAAGAAAGCGATATATCGCCCGCGAATGATGCAAATATTGGTAGCAGTAGAGCACCTCATCGAGAGACACCGACGTATCGTGACAGCTTCAGTCGTGCTCAGTGTATGAGGACACCACGTCTCAACTCACTGGCGAAAATCAACCCACATGCACCCCCGAAACCAGCACGTGTCCATCTCAATAGGGTACACAGGTCAGAACAGAACACAATCGACGATTTCCCCATACGCTTTTGTTTATCTTCCCTGCCCTTTTCTGGAAAAGGAAAAGCATGAAAGAAGGCCACAACAGATATTAAACACGAAACCAAGACATTGAAGTATAACAATCTGTATTCTTCTGATGCGGAACGAGAAAGGAAACAATTATTTGCGGAGACGGAAGCACCAGAGCAATGTCTGAGAGATACTGCAGTCGGGATACCTGAAGTGCACTCTTCAAGCGGTCTCTGCAGGGTGACCAGCAACGGGCTCTGTGAGTCGCCAGGACATCTAGCAGTAAAAGACTACGGCTTGTCAGAGACGGAACACTGTACAGACATATCAACACAACCGCAGTACACAAGCCAATCCGAGGATTGCGTTAATTGTGCCGAGGATGTGAATGAGTCAACCAGGGAAGTGAGTGGTAATTGCAGCGGGACAGAAGGATTTGTAGTCGATTGTGAAGAATCGACAAATTGTTTAGCTGGATATCCGCAAATCTGCAAAAATAGTCCAGCATCATTTCCAGTTGGGTCGATTAGGACCCTTACAAGTGCAGACAGTGAGCATTCAGCACGTGGAGGGTCACTGATGCTTCCTCGCTTGACGAGCTTCACATCGCACTCTGAGGTACCTCTCGCCAATTCGGGTGTGAGAAGGTCCACCCCTGGTTCACCCATAGCCCATGGTGTGTGTTTACCCGGACAAACGATGGTTGAATTGTTCGGAGATTTTGATCAGGAATACGACGTGCCTGAGCATACAACTGTTGTCAATTCTGTTGAGGCTGACAGCGAGATAGGTAAGCCTTCGAACTTATAGCTTGCAGGCTTTATATACGTGTGCACAAATTGAAGTAAGCTCTCTACTATTTAAAATAAATAGTTGAAGGATAAGTGTTCAGGTGTGATTGAAGGTATTTTCTATCATGCAACCAGTTGTTCTTGCCCATTACCTTGTTGTGACATATGCAGATCCGGCAATTATTCGTACTCGGAGAGTTCAAAGAGTTTCAGCGGTCAATCCTACTGTGGCGGCAAACTCAGCTGGCTACCACGAGCATCTCAAACCGACATCACAGGGAGATAAGACCAGCATCCCCAATTGTAACACTGCGCAGCACAAGATTTCCTTGCTTGGCCCTCGAGATAAGATATTGATCGCCAAATTGCTGGAGATTCCAATCTTATACAATGATGTGCAGTTCCTCCGTTTGCACGGAATCCACAACCAGCCAGCAAACGCAACCGGTTTTCTCACAATTTGGCGAGATGCTATCGACTTTTCGTAATCAATATTGCCTGATATCCAGTGGCTTGACACCATTAACAACGCCGCTTTCATAGCGACGCAAGCGCAAATCGAGGATGATTCGCCGCACCTGCTCAGCGGACACGTCTTGAACTGGTATACAAAGAGCGACAGATGATCGTCCTCCGAAATCTACGTGTCATGAGTCAGGGCAAAGTGGGACGAATGTTTGTCGGCAGTTCCAAGACATCACACAACCTAGATATTTTGCACACAATCATCGATCGGATGGTGCTTGCTAGGTCAGAGAGCACGTGTTCACCTATGGGATCTCCACGTCGCACGCGGCATGATCATGTGCAGTCACAGTTTGACAGCCGACTTGTACAGTTAGCTGCAGACACGGCCGATCAATGGCTTCAAACTAGCCTGGCCGATAGTTCTGCGCGTGCAAGCGATGAAGCCATCAAAAAGATTCAGAGCACGAATCTAGGGTTATTTCCTGGTACTTTCCAATTGAGCCCATGGAGAAATCATTTGTGTAGCCTACAACCTTTTACTAGAAGAAAAGGGTTGTCTCATGCGCGGCATCGATGTCAACCTCATCACCGCCCCCATCGACCAGCTATTGCATGCATTACTTTCGCTCATACCGCCTTTGAAAATACTGCTCAGTGACAAAAAGTTGGGATTGGCATTTAGGAATATTCTGCTATCAAAACCCTATGTCGATGCGGTGAGATCTCCGTAACTGTGGAATACAAACATTAGCTGTGAAACGTGGTCTAAACCTTTTTTTTAGACAAATTCGACAAAATACAATAAATGATTACTATTCAAAGTATATTTACACCTAAACAAACACTTGGACAAGGAATCACAAGGTACAATTTTTTCAATTTTTATATTTTAATTGCAGATATTCGCAGATAAAAAGGTGTTGAGCGAATTCCAAACGCCACGCCAGCGGAGATCATGTAGTAAGTTCTTATAAGAATTACTATATATATAACTCAATTCACCTAGTAGACATTCATAGCGCTGGGCTGTTTACTCGGTTTTTGAATGTACTTCATGTACTTCATGTACTACAGGTTACATACACAGTCGCTTATATATATTTTAAATTATTGTGGTTTGCCACAGAGAAATATGTTGCAATTGACTCATTCTCTCTATGAATCATGATATTTGAAATTTTGAATTCAGTGCAGTCACCTGAATATCGATGACTCATTTAGATCTCTTGATCTAAACATAAAGTACGGACTCAAGTCTCAGGGGCCATCATTATCAAGAAGAAATGGTCAAGAAATTGTCAAAATCTTCTTGCGGTCACACACTCTCACGGGTTATGTGAATATATGATACATAACAGGTACAGTGAAGAGCAACAAGCTCGGCCCGTTGCTTCATTAGATGAGCACGATTGGCTACGGAAAAAGAGGAGCAAGCAACCTTACTTGGTTGAGAAACAAAATGGTTAAAACTCCTGCTAAGAAACAAAGCACATTGTTTTCGTTTTTTAATAAAACTCCTACTAGAGGAGTCGCATTGTCATCCATCAAAGCTGTAGAGACTAGGAAAAGAATCGACAATACTAAGGGTAAGAAACGTAAAGTTGGTGATGTGGTTGATATCACAGATGATGAGACGTCGGAGAACAGTAAGCGAACAACACTTCATAAAGTTGTGCGCGAAAATGATTCAGATAAAAATACTGCACTTGGCAGTACTGATTTCGAGCTGACCGACGAAGAACGGCAGTGGCTGTTTCGAGAGGCGCTGGCTGCGAATAGAAATTATTGTGGTGTTGGCGAGTGTTCTAGTACGCACATGAATAATACTGCTCTCAATAGCGCGCAATCTTTGCCGAAATACAAAGTAACGCAAGAAAGGTTAGTGACTAGCAAGAGTGTGGTTGCCTTGGACATCGATAGGCAACCGGGGATGGTGAAAGTAGAAGGAGGGAGCGGAGATCTACAACTGACCACGACATCTCCCGCTGTAACTCATTCAGTACCTGTAAAGAAAGAAAATGTGATATCGAATTTGGCTGAGATTGCTATGCCGTCGAAAGGAGGCGTGCTATTCCTAGATATGAGTCAGACCTTTAGTGAGTTGGAGAAGGAATCTGGACGCATAAAGAACAGTTTCGTGTTGATTCGCTTTATATGGAGGGTTCTGTGCGAGAGTCAAGATGAGCTGATAGAGGCCGTTTATCTGCTGATGGGGATGCTTGCGCCTTCGTACGAAAATATCGCCTTGGGTAAGGATAGCATGAGTGCAAAAGTGACATTGTCTGTCAGTATACATGCCTAGCATGGATATATATATATATATTCGCCGCGTATTGCTTTGCCTCGTGCTACTTGAGATTGTGAATATGGGTGGGGTGTTTCGGCTTCATTTGATCCTGATTTAAGTCAGCAAGAAGATTGTTCTGTACCATGGTTATTCCGGTCTCTGCAAGATCACTAGCTACACGGGTTTTATTCAGGCTTGTTGATTTCTCTGTATATTTCATGCTGCTTACCTTCTATCACTTGTAATATGCTGATTGCGCTGTCCCGGATGCGTTGCTCTACAATTACATATGTACTTGTCAAAATCCTTTGGCACGGTGTTATCGAATATCTGCCTGTTTTGGACGTTGTGGTATATCAGTTGTATTGTGTTTAGACTAACCTGTGATTTGGATACTGATCTCTCTTCTGCATTGCTAATTTACATTAATTTACATTCGCTTTGAGATATATGGACTTTTTGCTACGTGTCGGTTCACTTTGAATTGGAAAACCAAGACACCCTCTGACGCTATTGAGATGATTAATATGACTCTATCATACTGCCGTCTGTGATACATTTCGTTGCGTATCGTTATTTAAGTTATCATATGTGTATGTAGTTCCCTCACTCATGCTCTGATTTTGTTAACGCTCAGGTGTCGGCTCCGCTTCGTTAGCGAAAATTATTGTGGATACCACTGGATCGAACAGGAATACTTTCAGAGCCCTCGCGAGTGAGCATGGCGATATGGGAGAAGCCGCTTATCGTCTGGCACCCAAACAACGTAGTCAGATGTTTGTTGTGCAGAAAAAAGCATTACGCATGAGTACTGTACACTCCCAGTTATTACACCTCAGCAAAATATCTGGAAGTAAGGCACAGAGCAAACGAGAGGGCGTGCTGAGGAAGTTGTTTGTCGGCAGTTCCCCGGTAGAAATGAAATACCTTGTGCGATTGTGTGAGCTAAATTTGCGTGTAGGCGCTGCTCCCAAGACCATCCTCACATGTCTCGCGTACAGTCTATATATGTATCTTCATCTCAACATTGTAACAGAAGAGGAGTACGTGAAGTATGATCTCAATCAACTCCGCAAAGATCCTGACGTGCAAATCGCAACTCAGTCGTTGTTATCAGCGTATAGTAGGTGCCCGAATCCACGCGTTGTTTTAGAGACAGCACTGAGACTGAAAGATATAAAAGGTTTGGCTGAGAATTGTCCCCTTACACCCGGTATTCCTGTTAAACCTATGCTTGGGAAGCCTGTTACAAGTATCCATGCGCTGATGGAAAAGCTCCAGGATGCGATGAAAAGTAATAAGTTTTCGGCTGACCAGTCGAATAACCAGGAGAAGCAGGATGCTGCGGTGAAATACATTAAGCCGGAGGAGAAAGCCGGGCAAGAGCATCTAACAGCACAGCAACCCTTTGTTAAGGTTGAGCATGATCTACACATCAATACAGAATCTCCTTCCATATTCTGTTGTGAAACGAAATACGATGGGCAAAGAGTTCAGGTACATAGACTTTCTGATGGCACCTACCGGTTTTTTAGTCGGAATCTGTTGGACAATCAAGCATGGCCTGATCTCATTCCGATGCTGCAACAGTCCGCGGCGCAAGCACAGGCGAGAACATCAGGCTTGCTCTCTGATGAGGTAGGAACTGCAAATCTTGACGCCAAGGCGAAAGCCAACGCGGGGGATGAGAGCATAGTTCGTGTGAGTGCGGACGCAGGAAACACTAGTGTTTCATTCATTATCGATGCCGAAGTGGTGGCTGTGCGTCGTAATGAGAAGAAGCCAGAACAGAGAGCAATTCTGCCGTTCCAAACCCTATCTACACGTGGGCGAAATAACGTGGAAGTAGGTCGGATTAATGTGCAGGTTTGTCTGATGATATTTGATATCATGTTGTACGACGATAGGGCGCTCACAAGCATTCCTTTATTAGGGAGAAGGCGGACACTTCAGCGGGTTTTCGATGTGATACCCGGTTGTGTGGAATTTACGGATTCGATCGAAACTTCCAGCGAGGCCGAGGTCACGGCGCACTATCGCAAAAGCATCGTCATTGGTGAAGGACTTATGTGCAAGCGTCTGACAGACGTGTATGAGACCGGAGAGAGGGGTGATAGCTGGTTTAAACTGAAGAAAGATTACATTGTAGAAGCCGATGCACCTGCGAAAGCGCAACCTGAGACGGGTGAAAGCTGTAAGGACGGGGAAGGTGCGGAAAAATCATTGTGCGGCGACAGTCTCGATTTGGTTCCCATCGCTGCATGGCGAGGAATGGGACGAAAGGCCAAATGGTATTCACCATACTTATTGGCGGCGTATGACAGAGAGACGGGATATTACCACTCTGTATGTAAAGTGATGAGTGGTTTCACCGATGAGGTATACAAGCGATTTCACAGAGACATGACTATGGAGGGTTTAAGCAGTAAACCATCGGATTATATCGTATCGGATACGTTCCGGCCGGCTATATGGTTTCCACCCACACGCGTGTGGGAGATTAGAGGTGCAGATCTTACTATCTCTCCTGTACACACAGCTGGCCAAGGTATGGTCGCTGAAGATTCGAATAAAGGTGTATCGTTTCGCTTTCCGAGATTTATCAGGGAAAGAGCAGCCGAGGATAAGGCTCCAGAAGACGCCACGAGCACAGCAGAAGTGGTAGAGATGTTCTTCGCACAAGGGCAAAAGATCGATTCGGGTATCCGAGACGATGAATAGTTATAGTGTCACACGTCACAACCTTTTTTTGGATTACACGCCACATTATAAATTCTGTTCAGTACATGCCACATTTTTATTCTAGATGACTGACCCCATATGCATTGGAACACCCGCGAAGGCCGGGTATCTAAGTATTAATCACAAATCTTGAGGTAATAAACCCTTGCAGCTGAACGATAATGCAAATGGTCAAAGGCATAGCACAATCGATTCTGGGATGTACATATGCATTTGTTATGAAAACCGATACTTAAACCAGCTACTTTGCGAAGCATGCGGATGCCTCCCTAACTTATTGCTCAGTTGAGCTGACCCTACATTTTTTTATCAAGGATTCTGGCTTTCCATTAAATCGAAATTTGCATAATTTTTTATTCAAGTGCTGACGCTGAGATTGCATGGAACGATTACGCAATATATCGCTACTTGGCGTGTTGAAGAAGCATCGTCAAAGGGTTTGTGTATACAGGAGGCAAAGTTGTTATTAAGATCAATCCAATAGGAGGTATTAAGATCAATCCAAAACGCCTGCCTTATTATATACTACGCGCGCCTGGAAATGCCACATGAGAAGCTGCCTACCTAAATCGGCACATGAGCTCTTGAGCTGAAAATGGGGTGCAAGAAAGTCCATGTGTCCATATCACTTCCAGTAAATTTGTATACATTTACAGACTTCAGTCTATTAAGCGGTGTCGGAGTCACACAGTCACTCCCACTTCTGTGCAGACACTGAGCAAGCATGTATCTTTTGGTTTTGAGCCTGTCGCAACAATTCTAACTTCGTCAGCTCGATTATATGAGTTGATATATATTCAAAGACTGCGAGGATTAGTCCACCATACACGTGCTAATTATTGAGATTTTTTTTCTGGTATTTGGCTCTATATGTTGATAGGGCCCTATTCGCATTGCTTTTCACCACCCATCGTCGTACTCTTTACGCTCTTGCTCGTTTCGAAGAACGGCATACGCCTCATTGAGTAAATTGAAATGCTCTGTTGCCTTCGCCTTCTTCTCTGGGTCACTTTCCCTGTCTGGGTGCGTTTGTAGCGCCCTGATGCGAAACGATTCTTTGATTTCTGCATTCGTGGCAGTTGGGTCCACTCCTGATGAAGGCGCGGTATACAAGATATCAAGGTTTTGTGAAAATGCACGTTCCTAAATTGGTTCTTGGAAATGCAGACTGATCTCAAGAGGAACTAGACCAACAATTAGCTTGGCAACGATGGCTGTGTTTCCTAGAAGTAATCACGGGCTACCACAATTGATCTGAGCAAGATAATGGGTCAGATTGACGAAATACGTTGGTAGCGATACGAATTAACTAACCCCCAAAAACAAAAAAAACAAAAAACAAAAAAGAAACGCAGTTTGTTGCAAAAAATAAGGGCGCACATTTTTGAATAAGATACGAAAGCTGAATTGCGAACGAAAAAAGTGTAGCTGCGTACCCAACATAGCATAGTAGCCTTTCGGATCGGTAGGCCGTAACGGATTACGAAATTTCCAGGCCTTTATGCGTGAAGTCGTCGTGGTTGTGGATGTGTGCTGCTTTTCCTGAGTGTGCGTTTGCGTTCGTTCGCGGTGTTCTTCATTCAGCTTCTCAGCCTTCTTGAGTGTCCTCGTTGACCACAAAAGAGCTACCATTGGCTTATAGCTGTTGAATTCAAAGAGAAGACCCATCAAAATTTGCTAACAAATGAGCGAACTCCAAGTCTTCAATACGTAGCTACCGGTTAAGAAGTAAAAATAAGAGGATAAATTAAGGTGTGCAATTTGATAGAAGCAAAGTGTCGTTCCTACAGCGACAGAGTTATGCCTTCATCAAAGTTTAAGTTGTAGAGTAGAGTCATATTCTATGATATTTGAGACACTGTCAATACAACTTACGATGAGAACAGGCAGCCTAAAATACCAGTAGCCAGCACTGGGATGACAAAATTGCTCACACTGTACATCAATTCTGGCACCTGGTCGTGAAAACAATCCTCCGTCAAAAATCTCAAATAAATACAATACGATCAATACATTCCAATGCAGATTATGACAATAGAAGGTAGTGATGGCAACAAAGGTATCGTTAGATTCGAATTAAAACTATGTGGAGGACAGGTAAGTCACTCAATACTTACAAATGCGTATTCTAATTTCTTTGAACCAGCCGTCCACAGACCATGAGCAACGGTGAAAGTAGCCATACAAGCTGCCGCCACTCTTGATTCTGAATAAAGTGGTTCCCCACCAATTTGTCTCTCATCATATCCACTCACGAACTGTGTTCGAAACAAGTAGTCCACATTGAGTAAAATGTTGTCGACGGAGCAATATCCTATCAAAGCTAACGCATGAAGGTGACGTAATTAATACAGACATCAGAACAATTGGCCTGGCGTGATTTTAGTAGTCAAAACAAAATCAAGTCGATATACGAAAGCAAATGTTCCGCTCAACCAGTGCTACTGCAGTCTATCGCAGATAACGTTTGTACATACCCTTTGGAACTTGACGCCGAAGTGCCGTACTTGAAACACATAGCTTGGCAGATATACTTGTGCATGGCGAATATCATCATATGTAAGCACTAATTTCAGCCCTGAAACTTGATCACAGAGATACTCCATTCTGCGCTGAAGGTAAGTAGGAAGAGAGAGTCAACAATATGTGACAATATGATCATCATTCCAGTGATAAATATGAACTATAAGATGATTTGAATCAAAACTTTTGCATGTACATCGTACCTCAAGGCGTCTTCTGCCTTTTGCTTCTCCTCGGAATTGAGGCGCTGCTCAACAATTTCCCAAGCCCGCGTTCTGCCCGGAAAAAAAATATGAGATGCGCATCACGTAACAAAACTGCAAAGTAATTGGCAACTTCAGGCAGTATCGATGTGGAGGAATCGCGTTATAAAATTTGCATCATATTGACTAGACAGAAATTGGGGTGTCAGGTGGAGATTACACCCTGATGTCCAGGTATTGTGAGAACGAAGACTACTGCAGTCGGCTAGTGTTCATTTAAATGTTGCAACTACAAGCTGGAAAGTGTAAATATCAGTTATTTAAGTGACAATCACTCAGCGTACGCTATACACACTGCTGAGTCTGAAATATACTAGTTAGAAAGCCGTGATCAGTCATCGCGCAAAATTCCAAACGCCTGACGAGTTTGCCGACGATACCAAGCTCCTTGCTTGACGTGGAAGGGATGATAGTAACAAATTTTGAGGAAATAAATGGCAGTTTCGCCGCCCAGGATATTATTGGTTCAGATGAACACTCACCGAAACATTTGGAAGCTGCCCACAGTCTTGTTCCCAATATATGAATCTGTAAGGGGACGAGCAATCTCCAGAGCGCGCCCAACCTTCATGGGAGCAACATCTTTGGCACTGTATTGAAATGAGTCCAAGAGGCCACACGTCAATGCATAAAACTAGGTAACGGGCATGACACACTTTCCGTGATCTTTCACTGTCAAGCTAAAACTTAGATGTACATTCAATAGTCGCCAACCGGATTCAGACGCACACACACAAGCTATAGGTGAAGCATGAGCTACGCATGTATATCTTAAATACTTACTTGTATTTGAAGGATGCATACACCTGATTGACATCGGTACCTTCTGCTCCGCATTCGTTGAACGTTTCATGGATTCTGTGAAAATTTTCAATATTTTTTAAGGTACCGATTCCAACTAATCGGCTACAAAAATGTAAATCTTGTACATCAGACGACCTCAATTACAACCATATCCGCGGACTCACGAGTCACAACCCGATAGTTCGAGCAAGTTGTGGATATTGGCCGTAGGCAAAGAATTCCAATACGAGCGACAAACCTATTTGTGCTTGACCAGGATGTCCTCTTCTTGTTCACGTATTTCTTTTGTAACATATCATATTCGTTACTCCAGTAGTCGTGACCTATCTGTGCGGTATATCTAGGACGCATAAATATATGTGGTTTGAACAGTTATTAGACAAAGGGTTGCAGGCAGCGTTTTGCGTAGTCTCAAAAGTCTATTCCAAACTTTTAATCAAACAATTGCATCCATACATATAGCAATTCATCACTACGGAAATTTTTAATGGACAACGAATATACAAACTGGCAAGCCAGCAAAGAGGATAGTTTTGGGAAATTGTCATTTCGAGATGATGTCTAGTTTATGCTATCACATATTGCGAATCAATATCGAAGTTTCCATACCTTGCCGTGCACTTGAATCGAAAAATGTGGAATGGTAAATACTCGGCCATCGATTCATCGTCCGGGTGCAGAATAACATTCTATCACAAGTTAAATTATACCATAAGATGAAGATGACATAAAGCAAAGCTAGGAATAACACCTGTTCTAATTTTGGTGTACACCGAATATGAGCAGCCACTTAGGAAACACAAATGATGAATTATCCATGACAACGATACAACAGACAATGATCATGTACACAACTAACCACACATATATATATACATATATATATAAATATATGTATTTAT